CCCTAACCCTAACCCTAACCCTAACCCTAACCCTAATCCCTAATCCCTAACCCTAATCCCTAACCCTAATCCCTAACCCTAATCCCTAACCCTATCCCTAACCCTAATCCCTAACCCTATCCCTAACCCTAATCCCTATCCCTATCCCTACCCCTAATCCCTATCCCTATCCCTACCCCTATCTCTATCCCTAACCTATAATAGAAGGATTAATCTAGTCAAATAACAAGTAAAAGAACTATATAAGACAATAAAACGCAACAAGTTTATATCTAAGTATCCAATAATCAAACACAAACTTTCCAATCTAATAAAATAAATTCAAATACTCAAAAACTTTGTAGACCACATAAATTATACCTTGTATAAATTATTTCATACCAAAGTAAGTAGTATTAACATTCTCTTCCATCAGAATAAAAGGGATGTCTATACATTCATCAACTTACAATGAGCAAAGAAACTTAGTCTCGATATACAATTAATCCATGATGAATAGCCAAATACCTTGATATATGATAGAAAAGTAAGAATCTCCAGAACTGTAATATTCGGTGAATATGTACACTTTTACTTCAAAATTAAAAACCAAGGTGGCGTAGCTGGCCATGTGGCAAAGCGAGTTCTCAACACATTATAGGAAGCATTATGCCTGAGGAAGCATAATTACAAAACCCTTACCACAGATCAAACAGACCCATTTACATTTCCAGAGGACCATACACTTGACTCTATCATACCAGTAGGATTTAACCAGTGTCGATTCCAGTTCACAAATCCAAATAACCCCTTTAAGAGTGAATATCCTAGGACCGCTCCATTCTTATTAGCACGTGGTCGCAAAATCACATCTAAGGCAATTTAACCATACAAGGATAAAGTACGACGTATCCATACAAACAGATTTATTTTAGAAGAGCAGCCAGATAGTCCCACACTTTTTACTTATCCAGAGAATGCAAATACAACTCTAAAGACTTTCAAGTTTAAAACTGCGAGATACTGCCATGTGAAAAATGCGAACAAAATTATTTGGACATGATTGCTAAGGACCAGTAGATATATTTTTTACTGATATACCATGATGATATAATTGAATAAACCTATAGGATATGTAATCTTACAGGATATCAAAATGCAAAACACTGACCGATTAGGTAGACAAGACGACGAAAATTTCTACACGTGAGCAGACACATTCAGAATGCTGTGCAATATTATGAGACTTATAGTCACTGGTAAAAAAATGGTCTATCCTACACATATTCTACATATATCTTACATATATCGGGTACTCAAAATGTAGAAAATCATACACAAATAATACACATATCATATACTTATTGTATATGTTCTATGTAAGCACTGGACATTTTTCATTTATGTTATTGATCACTTAATAATAGTGATACACAAATTTTGGTCACTTTATAATTAGTGATATACAAAATTTTGATCACATTATTATAAAATAATAAATAAGATACGTGAAAAAGGTCTCAGTTGCTTTACGTCATACATATCCAATAAACTTTATTATCAGTCATGTTTATGATAACTGATTTACACTAGGATGCTACTCTATCATGTGGCCTTCAGCCTTATGATATACATAGCAATCTTAGTGGTAAATCAGTTATCATCTACAACATGACCGATAACAATTACATATCGGGTACTTATATATATAGTATACCTATCAGGTACCTGATATATGTATGATATATATATTAGTACCCGATATGTGTATGATATGTGTATTATTTGTGTATAATTTTCTACATTTTGAGTACCCAATATGTGTAAGATATGTGTAGGATAAATCATTTTTTTACCAGTGAGTAAAATAGGTTTTCATAAGCGGCCACCTTATCCAAGGTCTCGTCAAGATGTATATGCTTATATTGTACACATTAGGAGAATAGTATCGTGACTACAAAATTGGTAGTACTGTACTTACTGTAAATCTTTTATTAATCATGGATGGGGAGATGACACTTCTATAGATCAAGCAGTACGACTACATTTATATAGTTGCCTAAAGCATTTTAAATTCGACTATTATACTCATCATGCTAAAATGATCCAGAAAGCCTTTAGAAGATATATAGAAAAAAAGAATAACAAAGCGGCTAGGATCATCCAGAAAGTTGCTTAGCCATAATAAAGGATAACATGAAAAAGGCTGTAGTGATCATAATAAAGAATATATGCGGATTATGATTTATAAACATCAGAAAATTTTTTAAGGGGGTATATGCCAATAAAAAACTCACGTGATATATATCAATAATAATTGCACTTGTTGAGTAATTTCAATATTGTTAAACAGTGATAAATATCATTATCTAACTTTAACCCAATCGATAATTATCAAAATACGATTAAGTGATAAATATCATTATTTGACCTAACCGATTATTTAACCAAAGTGATATATATCAAAAATATTTAATTGATAATCATCAAAAAATACTTATTACATTTATTAATGATAAATAATTAACATAAAATTCAATTGTTTTAATAATAGCAATACTAATAAATAACTAATAGAATAATAAAAATAAAAAATATTCATTACAAATAATACAACATATCACTAAGCATAAAAGTATGATTAATATCAAAAAATTACTTCTTGAGGGAAGCTTAAAGTTATCCATGATCTTTATAAATACTTAGTCACTATGATCAAATAATTCATCGAAATTTTGTTCAAAAGCTTTCTCTGAACGAGGCTCCTCTTCATTATCTTTCTCAACTACTACTTTCTTTTTCATTTCTGGGATTTCTTCTCGTATTATTGATATCGAATCATCAAGTTCAATAGATTCATTATTTAAAAGTAAATCCTAAAATATTAATTTAGAATTATAATTGAAAAACTTGATAATTTCAATTTTAATTAACAAAAAAATCACCTTAAATTTTTAAAAACGTCTTTCTAATGTTTTCTTGCACATTCTATATCTGGATAGTTAGGATTTAATACAATATCGCACACAGATGCTGTATAAACATAAATATCATTAAATAATAATTCATTGTCATGAGGTAAGGTTGGAAATGCTTGTTTCGCAATATTCTCTATCACATTTTCATCTTCGTCATATAATTTATAATGGCATTCCTTAACATTTTGCGATCTTTTCCATTCTGAAATGTCAACTGGAGTATTTTTTTTCTTGCTACTTGAAATCTGTAATCCCAATTCTTTAAGAATTGCACTCCTAACTGCTGCGGTAGAGGTAGAAATGCGATTCAGATGAAATTTTACAATCCGTGATCCGCACAGATCAATCCGGATTATCATAGGATTAAATCCGAATAATCTAGATTAACTTCAAATTTTGGGTATCTCGGCATCCAACGATCGTACAGAGATGCACTATAGCTCATTCGAATCGTTGCATTGAGACGATTCGAATGAGCTATTGTGCATCTCTGTACGATTATTGGATGCGGTTTCGGATTAAAACGGATATTCTTAATCCATCCAGATGCATCCATTATCCGTTCAGATCGGATGGATTGGCGGATGATCTGAATTTTCGGATTTCAGATCGCATCTCTAGGTAGAAGTACCCCTTAAATCTTTCATTTTATGTTGAATCTAATTAATATAAAAAATAATAAAATTTGAAATTTACAATTAAATTAAATTGTATTTATGTAATTAATGATAATTACTATAGTATGATAGTTTCCGACAAACGAATTAGTCCACTTTCATTCACTTACTTCCTTTAAATAATTGGGATGATGTAAATTGAACCACTTTTCTAATTCAGATTTAAAATCATCAAAGCTGGACCACAAATTACTTGGAAAAAATTTTCGGCATACTTGAATATACCCTTCCTATATTATTTTTATTGTATAACAAAAATTATCAATAATTATTTAAAGATAATATGTTATTGAAAAATAAAATTACTTACCATGAAGACCTTTGGAGTCAAATCAACGTCATTATTATTTTTAGTTTGCTGTCTTAGTTGATCTTGAATCCATTTTGTTTGATTATTTGTCAATTTTTGTAGCTCATATAAAACTCTAATTTGTTTTGATTGTTTTTTCAATATTTCTTCTAATTTATCTATTTTTTTTCCTAATTTGCTGCTATATTTATCATTACTTTCATGATGCTTCATTTCAGAGAGTTTTTTTGATGGATTATGTTCCTCATCAATTACTATTACTTCTTGTTCTGTAGTTAGGGTCAATGGTCTTAATTCCATGATTGGGATTGTTGGTCTTGATTCTGTAATCAGGGTTGTTAGTATTGGTTCTGAAATAGGGGTTGTTGGTCTACTTGACAGAATTGGTAATGATGTAAGGACAATTCCTGATAAATTATGGTGAATTGTAATGATTAATTTGTTAACAATTATCAAATTATCATTATAATATATTAATTATCATTATAATAACATTAAATAAATTAACCACTCGCCTGTTCGTCTAGTATTATTTTTTTTTTTACCATAACTGGCAATATTTCTGGAAACAGTTTTCTCTAATCGATCTATTTTACCCATAACGATAATAAGATAATAAATTTTAACTAGTAGTAGTAGCATAATATAGCTTATTAATAAAAAATTATGGCAAAAAAAATTAAATTATTACTTTCAAGTGACATAGAAGTTCCTTGGGAGAATACTTCATATTCTTCCACTTCATGTTGGTTAGTTGACGTTTTAGTTTTTTTACTGGATTTATTTTTAATTGGAACTTCGTTAACTTCTTGTTCTTGTCCTTCATTATCATGTTCTCTAATGGCTGTTCTTTCATTGGTATTTTTGTTGGTACTAAATCTAAAATTATATTTTCGTTTATTTATTTTTATAAAAAAATGTAAAAAGTAAATGTAAGAAGCAAACGTTAAGAAAAAAAAAGCTTAAACGAGAAGTTGTCTTATTTATATACTTTTCAAAAGTATAATAAAGTTTAATTTCACGTTTTTTACGTGTTTTATACTAGATAAATTAAACCATTTTTTTTAACAAACTCACCATCCTAAAAGTATAATTTAAAGATCAGTAAAGTTATTTTAATTTATTTTAATGATCATTCAAATTGATTAATTTAACGAAATACTTACAAAAAAAATGTCATTTTCTTTTAAATTCTTTAATCTAAAAATGTAAATAATAGACATAATGAAAAATACTTAAATTTTATTATGAAACACCAATGGTCCAATGTTGCTTAGCACCAGTATCACATGGTTTATTTATATTGTGTGATTGGCGTTACTCATCAGATTTATTAGTTTATTTTTAATATTAACTATTTTCCCTTCTTTTCATTTTATTCGTCTCCACCTTTTAATGGCTTTAATTAAAACTTTGGCATCAGTATCCTAGTAAATGGTAAGTTATTTTGGGTCTTTTGGAATCAGAAATTTATTTTCTTTAACTAACTATCTTTTTCTTTTTTTTGGTTGGGTTGTTCACTTTCTTTTTTGAACTTTATGTTTTTTGTTTCATTCCATCACTATTTCATCTCCTATCATTCTTTTTCTATTTCCATTTCATTCTATATATTCTTTCATCTCCATTTCATCCTATATCATTTCATTTCATTCTATACCGCTTTTATTTTCATCATCATTTCGTCCTTTAATCACCATTTCATCTCCTATCATTTTTTTCACCACTATTTTGTCACCTATTATTCTTTTTCCATCTCCATTTCGTTCCACATTATTCTTTCATCATCTTTCATCTCTATTTCATCCTATCTTTTTTTTTCATCACATTCATATTACTTTATTATTATCATTCGTTCCTTTCATCCACCATTTCATCTTATATCATTATTTCTATCACCATTTCGCTTTATATCACTTTTTCATTATCATTTCAACCTATACCATTCCTTTAATTACCATTTCGTCTCCTATTATTTTTTTCTACCACTTTTCATTCTATATTACTTTTCATTATCATTTCATCCCATATACTGTTTTTTTCATTACTATTTCGTCTGAATCATCTCCTATTGTTCTTTTCCATTACCATTTTATTTTATATCACTTTATCATTATCATTTCGTCCATACTATTCCCTTCATTACCATTTTATTCTATATCAATCACTGCGCATGTAATAAAATTTAAGGGCAAATTTTTCTTATTATGATAGCCATATTAAAAATTATGGTGCCGTATAGTTATTAATTATATAGACTTATGTATGTAGATCAAAATCAGCTAAAATAAATTTTATTGGTTAAAATTGATGATTTTCGAATCCATAATTCTGGCCAAATTTTGCTTAATTCCGGCCAATTTTATAATGCCGGCCTAAATTTTATAAAAATTGAAAAATGCAGTTCAAATGTAACATCACATTTATATAAAATAACTTTCAAACCAAATATAGAAAATAATACTTCTTGACAACATCTAAGAGTGTGTTGAAAAATTTCTTCAAATACTTTTTGTTTTTTAAGGTGGATCTTAACTAGAAGTTGGTACATTTTATTTGCTAAAAATAAGGAATAATGAGAAAAACTTGAAATTTGTCAAATATAGTAAATAATTTAAACTCCAAATTAAGACAGAAAGTATTTTATATAATTTTATAACAAAAAAAAAAGCTAAAAAAAATATTAACTCAAATAAATTTTCAAATAAACCCAGAATCTATAAAGAAAAATTTCCCTTTTTTTCATTATATTTGTATAATAGTAGTCTCTTATACACATCT